GGAGAGAGTAGACATCCTTTGCTTGTTCCCAATTTTAAGTGGGATGATATCAGTATGATGTTGACTGTGGACTTGTTGTATAATGCCTTTATTATGTTGAGATACATTCCTATATCCCTAGATTCTCTAGGACTTTGAATATAAATAGATGTTGAATTTTGTCAAAGGCCTTTTCTGCATCTATTGAGATGACCATGTGGTGCTTGTCTTTGAGTCCATTTGTATGATTTATGATGTTTATTGACTTACATATATTGAACTATCCCTGCATCTCTGGAATAAAGCCAAATTGATCATGGTGGATGATCCTTTTGATGTGTCTGTATGTTGTTTGCAAGTATTTTATTGAGAATTTTTGCATCTATGTTCATTAAGGAAATGGGTCTATAGTTTTCTTTTTTGGTTGTATCTTTACCAGGCTTTGGTATGAGAGTGATGCTGGCTTCACAGAAGGAATTTGGAAGTTTTCCCTCCAATTCTATTTTTTTGAATAAATTGAGCAGTATTGGATGCAGGTCTTCTTTAAATGTCTGATAGAATTCTGCTGTAAATCCATCTGGTCCTGGCCTTTTTTTTGGTTGTGTCTTTACCTAGCTTTGGTATTGGAATGATGCTGGCTTCATAGAAGGAATTTGTGAGTTCTCCCTCTTTTTCTACCATTTTGAATAATTTAAGTGTATTGGTTGCAGGTCTTCTTTAAATGTCTGGTAGGATTCTGCTATAAATCCATCTGGGCCTGGGCTTTTTTAGTTGGGAGGTTTTATATTAGTGTTTCAATTTCTTTTTGTGTTATGGGTCTGTTTAAGCTGTTAATCTCTTCTTGGTTTAGTTTTGGTGGTTCCCATGCCTTTAGATATCCATGTATTTCTTTTAGATTTTCAAATTTAGTAGCATATAGGTTTTTAAAGTATTCCCTTATAATGTTCTGTATCTTTCTGGTGTCTGTTATGTTTCCCCTTTCATCTCTGATTTGGAGGTGCTTTTTCTTTCTTTTGGTTAACTGGGCTAGCGGTCTGTCAATCTTGTTCATCTTTTCAAAGAAACAGCTCTTGGATTTGTTGGTCCTTTGTATTGTTTTCTTTGCTTCGATTTCATTAATTTCTGTCCTGATTTTTGTTATAGCTTCTTGTCTGCTGGGTTTGGGTTTCATTTGCTGTTGCTTTGCAAGTGTCTTGATTTGCAATGTTCATTCATTTATTTGTTCTTTCCAATTTTTTGATGTAGGCACTTAGAGCTATAAACTTCCCTCTAAGGACAGCTTTCAGTGTGGCCCAGAGATTTTGTCATGTTGTATTGTCCTTTTCATTTAGTTCCAGGAATACTTTATTTCTTTCTTAATTTTTCTTTTGACCCATTCATCATTCAGGAGTGAGTTGTTTAATCTCCATGTGTTCATGTGGTGATTAGGGCTTCTTCCACTGTTGATTGTAAGCTTTATTGCATTGTGGTCTGATAGAATGCATG